GGGAGATTGGATATTGGTTTATAATTAGCTAGGACACCTGGGTCAAGAGTAGAGGTTTAATTACTGTAACTTTAAAAGACTGTGGAACATAACCTGTTAATAGAGAGAGGTTAATCAGATCTAGTATGGATGTGTTGATTAGGGGAAAGACGTCTTTGAGCAGCCTGGTCGGGATGGGGTCCAGGAGACATGTTGATGATTTAGATGAAGCAATTGTTGAGGTCAACTCAGAGAGATCTATGGGAGAGAAGTAGTCCAAGTATAAAGGAGGTCTGACAGATGTTTCTAAAGCCATTGTAGTAGATGGCACATCCGCAAGAGCTGTGGGAGTGGTCCGACCAATTGTTTCTCTAATAGTTGATTTTATTGTTAAAGAAGCTCATAAAGTCATTGCTGCTGAGATCTAAGGGAATGTTAAGCTCAAAAATGTAATATTGTACAGAAGTTTTCATCATTAATAAACAGCATTTTGATCAAGCCAGATGAGATATGCTGACTGTATTGCCTGTTTTGTTCTTCACTCTGAAGGGCTCATATGCTAGTAAGATAATTTTACTTTTATTAGTTCAGTTAGCCATATAACAGTTACACCTGACAGTAACTTCTACGCATGAAATTGTGTTGTGCAACCATTTCTAAGTTAGTAATGCATCCATGTAAGTAACTCCTAAGTTTGAACTTCTGAACATCTGGTGCGAAAGCTCCTGGAAGTGACAATGTTCTGCCGACGTGAAATATTAGAAGAAGAAAAAAAAACTATTTCCTTCACAGTAGGTGCAAGGATGTTTGTACTAGCACTACAGCTGAGAAGAAGGAAGCAAATCAGTATTTGGCGTGGCTGCCTAAATTATCATCTGCCAAAAATTTGTAGGTCCTGAACAACAATGTTGCAGCATGCCAAGCTGGCTCTGGCATCATGCAGGGAGACAGAAACAAAAGAAGGAAAAGGATGGAGTGATTAAGGAGGATTGAAAAGGGGGGGGGGGGGCTAAAAATGAGCATGAGAAACAAAGTCAGAGAGAGCAAGAGGGACTAAAAGAATGATTTAGTGGCTCTGATAAACAATGATGAGCTGCGTGGTGCACAGGCATCCCAGAGAGACAAAGACATGAGGAAAGATACAAGGAGGAGGAAAAACAAAGAGGGAACAAGGGAAATTAAAGAGAAGGAATTAAACATGAGGGCAAGGAGACTGTTGAAGAGCATGTGTGAATGAAAATGAAAGCAAACGAGATCTGTGCTGGCAAAAGCGAATTAAGGCTGATGCTGGGTGAAGAGGAGGTAGTGACAAAAGAGTGCGAAAATGAAGATTGCTGTGTGGGAGAGAGGAAGAAAGAAAGGGAATGCTTGCCGTGAAGAAGAGCCATGTAGTGGCTGCCAATATCCTATTTCCTTTTGTATGTGCTTATTTTTGTTTTGGGGGATTTTTGTGTGTGTGTGTGCAGGTGCTTGCTGGCTTACTCTTAACCTACTGCAGTGCACATTTGTCTGCATGGTTTGGCAGATGCTGAAATTGGAACAAGATATTTTTGTTTTTAGCTATAAAAAGTTTTTAAAAAAAGATACAACACTTTGAGCCTGAAGGTAACACATTTAATAAATTTTAAGCAACTTTGTGTGTAGGAGGTAACACTGAAATGTCAGGTGTGAACTGCTGCTACCTTAATTTTCCTCACCTGTGGGGGGCATGCGTTTGCATATATGGAGCTCTGTTGAGGTGTAATTACAACAGAGTTTGCAGAGAACCAGACACATGTAGTCTGACAAATCTTTGGTGGAGTGACAAGTTCATTATGTGTTTGGACCCTGCTATATTTCTTGTTTGTTTTTTTTTTACCTTTTTCTTTCCTTCTTCCACTCTCATATGTTTTTTTAAATATTCAACTTGCTTTTGACATGTGGACAGCTCCTCTGACCATGACTCACCCAGTATGAATGCATCCTGTCAGTCTGGCAAATGGGCATTACCTAAACACACACACAGGCACAAGCACAAGCACCTGCTTATTTACTCATGAATGCAAGCAAGCACATGCATACATACAGAAAATAACTATATTTAAAATCTGTTGTCAGATCCAATTTGAGAAACTACACATCCTAACCATATGTTTCTGTTTTTATCTCTAGATGTTACAGCCCCAGTTTAAACCCCACAGCATCAAGCAGGTGCTGCAGAAGTTGTTCCAGGTATTTTATATTATTAATTAATCTGCGATACTTTCCTAAATCAGCCAACTCATTACTTCACCCTCTTGGGCAAAGGCTGAGGGCAACAGGTTGTCTTTATTAGACATCAGTTTTATCAGTGACCCCACTCCCTCCTTTTCAGTGTATCTGGATATCTTCTTTCCATCCTGAGCCTCAACATAGCACATTAGTTTTACATAAGGCTGTATTATGTTTTAATATCTGGCTCCTTGAGGGCAGAAGGGACTCGTATATTTTTCATGGATGATCTCATAAAAAATTCACCCCAGTATTGCGAGCAGGGTCTATTTTTACAGTCAGGTTTGAGCTGTATGTGAAGTTATTTTATGTCTCTTGCTGTCCCACTGCTGGACTCCTTTTTCATTTGAGGTGTAACATGAATCCAGTGTGCTTGTTTTAATCAGGGCTGTCTGTCACAGGTGATTCCTGGAAGGTCATCATATGGATCGTGGGATCCAAGACGCTGCCTGCGCTGTGCGGTGGTGGGGAACTCTGGAAACCTCCGTGGGGCTAGATATGGGGGGATCATAAACAGACACAACTACATCATGAGGTAATGTATATATGAGCAAAGTGATATAGCCTAGAGTAGATGCAACTACACTAGGTGTGCCATTAATGTTACATCATACAGTCTTGTATGATGTAACATACAAATGTGTGCAAATGCAAAATATAAAACAATAGACAGCAGAAGTGTGTGTCTGTATTTAATCTTGCAGTTTAATGCTCTTCTGTATTAAGTTCTCCTGTTGGTAGGGCTGATCATGCTGCAACATGTGTTTATACAGTATAGCCATTTTCAGACATGACATACATAACACTGCTGCTTCATCAGACTGATAAAGTGACAGCTTTCTGTCATTCAGACACAGGACACTATTACATTATGGTCTTCAGGGCTTCATTCAGACACACCAACAAAAATGAACAAAATGAGGCCACAAGGACCGTCTACACAGTGCAGCAGCCTACCAAAAAAATTATTCACTCTTATAGGGTCTCCTAGTGTCACCAGAATCAGTTAATGCATCCCTGGTCTTATGTTGGTTATACCACAAAACTTAGTTTGGAAAAAAATTTGTCTAAGAGTGAAGCTACTGAATATTTTTGTAGTACCTCTTTTTGGTATCGCACTTTGTAGATGGACCTGGCGCAGCCGTCTCACACCCGACTCCACATACGCCATTCATGACAATGGCTCATCTGATTAAAATTAGGTTGTGGCTGATTGTCTACCCCACTACAGTAAAAAGGCATGCTATTTATGCTAATTTATTAAGTTTGGATATTTTTTCAGGCAGGAAAGTCAGTTGACAGAGAGGGCTTTATGTCCTAAGAAGAATTCATGATACAGATTCAATGGGAGAATAATAGTTGTTCTTTCTATTGTATGAAGAAAGTTGAAATTGCTTTCAGGGATATACCGATACCAGTATTGGGTATCAGGTCCGATACCACCCCCTAGTACTTTTACTTGTAAAACTTGTCCAATACTACACACTAGCACCACTTAATGGCAGCATTACATTAACCTGGCTGAGCAGGTCATTAGGAGGTGGAGAATAAATTTCAGTGGTTCATGGATATTTTAAGATAAGTGATGATCTCATCTCATCTCACTTTCTATACCGCTTAGTCCTGAACAGGGTCGCGGGGATAAGTGATGATGACAAAAGTAAAGCAGACTGTGAGCTCTGATTCTCTGCTCTGCCATGTGCATCTGTGACCGCCCCTCCCTCCCCATCTCACATAGATACAAGGTCTCATTATGTCTAGATGTCAGTGTTCAATATGTGCAACAAAATCAACAGCAATGGAAAGAGTCATTAATCAAACACTTGCTGAAAAACCTGAACACAACAACAAACTTGCAGAAATGCAATGTCTTCGCTCTCCCCTGCAGTCAAAATACCTGGTCCTGTTCATCCACTAAACCCATATGGTGCTCGTTATGCTGATTGTAGTAAAAAACAAACAAATGTAGTTAATGGCCTAGTCTCCTGAGCTCCTGAGTATAAAAATGAGTTGAATGCTTGTAGACGTGGAGGCTGTATGTGTCCAGCAGAGAGGACAGGATGGAGCCACAGACAGGACCCAGTTTTAAGTAAGAACATGTCCCCTCTTTAAATGAAACATTTAGACTGTGATATTATGGCTCCCAAACTTGATGTTCTGGGTGGGTACTGTGAAATAATTTCATCCTAACAGATAGTCGCACTCCTACAAAGGCTAAAAACCGCTGTTTTTACGTTGTATTCAGTAGGAATGGTGGCAGAGCCACCGGGGTTGCAAGCCAGTGACTTCTGTGCTGGTCCCAAGCCCGGATAAATAGAGAGGGTTGCGTCAGGAAGGGCATCCGGTGTAAAAACATGCCAAGTTTAAACATGCAAATCATCAGTACGAATTCCATACTGGATCAGTCGAGACCCGGGTTAATAACGACCGCCACCAGTGCTGTTGACCTACAGGGTGCTGGCGGAAATCGGACTACTGTTGGTCGAAGAAGGAGAGGAGGCAGAAGGATTCGTAGACAGAGAGAGAAGAGGAAGGGCAGGAGTATAGGTCTGAGAATAAGGACTCTTAATGTTGGCACAATGACAGGGAAAGGTAGAGAGCTGGCAGACATGATGGAGAGAAGGAAGGTAGATATACTGAAAAAACTTTGAAAAAATCAACTGGACTAGATTTCTAGGTCGAAGACGTCTCACCTCTCATCCAAGAGGCTTCATCAGTTCTGACTGACTGGTGTTGAGCCAGGGATATTTATCCCTCTCAGTGGTGTTTCAGTCCTTTGATGGCCAACAAAATAAATATCTCCGGCTCAACACCAGTGAGTGAAGAGGGAGGTGGCAATGGCAAAACAGAAAGCATATGATGAGTTGTATGCCAGGTTATACACGAGGGAAGGTGAGAAGGACTTG